AATTACTCATATTTTGCTTTATATCTTCTAAACTAAAAATATTTTGTTAAGACATATAGAACAAAATTTGGGCAGAATTAGAAGTTCTTTCAAATGATATCTCGGAAAAAGGGCTGACCCCTAAAATAAGGGATCTAGAGGGGCCAAAAGTTTTTTGCAAGATATTAAAAAGTATTGAGAATTTGTAATACGTCCAAGAAGCAAAGTTGTTCAAAATGTCAAGCTCAATTTAATGTGTCCGGTTAATGCTCATTCCAGGTTAAACCGGAAGTCGTCAGAAAATGCAGATTTTTTTACCGTTCTTGACAAGTTTTTGGGTAACATATGTCACTGGAAGCATAAAATTCTAATTTTGTGTCCGTCGACATCACTTCCGATCAAACCGGAAGTAGCCAAAAATAGCTTATTTTAAAGGTTTTGATGCAAAACTTGAAATTATAAAGTGACTGGAGACGACTTAGCTCATAGTTTTCTTTTGTTGACGTCACTTCCGGTCAAAACAGGACGGAAGACCTATCGTCGCTTTGCAACGAGCTTTGCTCTAGTTATTTTTTTATGATTCTCAAAATCCAAAACGTTTAGAATCCATTTTTTCTTAGAACTATTAAGAATTATATCTAATGTTAACAAAAACAGCTACTTTACTATGGTTGACCAGAGAATTTTAACAAAACAGTCTTTTGAAGACGTATACCCCCATTTTTGGATTATCAATTTTTTTTCAATTATTCAATGCAAAATTTGTAAAAATTAAAAATTAAATGGATGATATAGGCTCTAAATCAATTAAAATAGATGTCAGGTTAGTTTGCTTACAAGAAAATTAAAAAGATTTAGGTCCATAAAAGCAATTAAGAATTTTGTGTCTGTGTATGTACTAAATGACATATAATCTTATGTACAGAGTGTAAAGTGTTAATTTCCATAAATAATGTATATTAATGCTTGATATGCACAATAACACTATAATAAACAAATATATACTTGCTAAATCATTTTCAATCACCAAAAAAGATTTATATCAATAGAAAAGTGAAAATCAGAATTTTATATTGATGTGTAAAATTAGAACCGTATGGTAAAAGTGTGGGCCTTCCTCTAATAGAAACCTTTCTTTTAAATGCTCATTGTACAATTTGTGTAGATTAACAAATCCAAACTCTAGATATTAACATTTAAAAATCTGAAGCGGGTCCAAAATGGCGGCTGTCTCTGTCAACTCCGACATTGCGCAGGTTAGGGTCTACGGAGGCAACTGAGCGTTTTCTTGAATGTAAGTAACCTAAAGATAAATGAAATGTAACGGAAAACTTGGATTGTCACGTCGTAGTTACGATGCAATTCTGTGTCAAACTAAGTTACAAGTGGAGCTTTTCAAAAAGCTTACCGTCTTTAGCAACAATCTTAAACAGTTAACTGATCTATACCTATCAGGCCGTATAATTCTTTTGAATTTCTTGATTTTGTATTTCTACATTGGCTTTTTACTGGCATTAGCCCTACCACGGTTGTCGCTCGGTCATCTCCGTAAACTTTGACTGGCCTATATTTTGCAAAAGCTTGGCTCATTCCATTTTTTCAAACAAGAAAGGGGAAAAAATAATAACAAATTGTAAAGCCTGCAAGCAATAAAAATCAAATTTTATTTATAATGAAATTAAAGAGATCTTTTGTGAATTTATTGCTATACAAAAAATCATGTTATTAGAAATTAATTACTGCAGATTTTGTTGTTCGTTTTGTCATTTTTTTTAAGATTGAAAATCTTGCAAAATTGTTAAGTCGTACGAAAATTAGATCATGAGAAAGTTGTCTCCCTTGCCTTGAACAGCATTTCAAGCGATGAAATAATTGAAAATTTTCTCATCGTGCAATTTCTACCAATCACAAAAGAGAGGAAGCGCAAATTTCGAAGACTGAAAAAACTTCAACTATACAATACCGTCTTCCAAGGAAGACGGTAATAATCCATAGTCGTCTCAAACGTCTTCTGTAATTAGCTTTGGCTGATTCTCAGAGAAGAAAAAGAAAAGACTAAATGTGATAATGAAATACGATACCAAGTATATTTTGCTTTTTGCGGAAAATCAGATTTTAAATCATAGTTATAAGTAATCGTTTTTAAGAAACAATATCGATGTATATAATAAGTATCAAACGCGTAACCACTGTTTTGCTCATGCACACTTGTGTCATATTAAACAGACAGAAAAGGCAAATGTAAGAAAACATTTATTTTTTAAAAGATCGTTGAATGGATCGAGTTTATATTAACATTATTGTATCAAGATCTGATTTACGTTATTGAACATAAATACAATAGGACAGATGTACTGTTGCAGAAGTATATACAAGTACATTTAGACCTTTGGTCCCGATAGCGTAATCGTAAGCTCTTTTGATTTTATGCTGGCGACTCGGGTTCAATCCCCTTTGTTTCCATAAAAAGTTGTATCACTTTTTCAGCTCGTTTTTGCGGTTTTTTTTTCAGAATCGAACGGAAGACCTCTCGTTGCTCGCAACGAGTTTCTTTTCTAGTTTTTATTCTATAATTATGCTTATTCTAAAAATATCATTTTTATTCGATACAATGTGATTCCTATTCGAATAGTTGTTATTCCTATTCGATAATTTGTAATTTGTATTCAATTAATTGCTATTCCCATTGGAGGAAATATGACAGTATGATTCCTATCATAAAATATCATTCTTTTTTGAAAACACTCGTTTCCTATTCGATGCCATTAATATTGGAAAACATGCGATTTCTATTCGCTAATTTTGTCATTCCTATTCGATAATTTTATCTTTCTTATTGGATAATTATTTGGTTTATATGCAATCAACATGATCAAGTTGTTGTTCGAAAACATACTAGCATCCATTCCTATTCGAAAAAGTTCGATTCCTATTCGATAAACTTCTTATCTTATTGCATACGTTTATCTCTCCAATCATAGTCCTATGCGATGTTTTCTTATTCTTTTTCAATAATTGCATTCTGGGAAATATGACAAAACTAGAACTGGTTGTAAACTCATAGGAATGACATGTTTAAGATATTTTCCTCCTCCTATGATGTCAGGGGTTTTTGCAAAACCTGTTATTACTTTAAATTCATACCCAATAGGACACTATCTTTTGGAAGAATGGTTTTCTATAGGGGTAATTATAAATATTGGTAAGAAAAAGAATTTTATAAATGCATAATTTCTTTCTTTTTTTTTATTAATTAATCAATCTTTAAAAAGTGTTCAAAAGAGCAATAAATCCTTCTTATGTATCTTCCTTCAGGCATTTGAAGCTTGGCATTTCAAAAGTAAAATAGTTTCCCTGATATTCACAATTTAAAATTATCTTATAAGTAACAAGTATTTTGGAACTTTCAGCTTCAGAATTATGTACCGGTATTTAAAACAGTTTTTACTTACTTTTTATCATATTTTTTATAAAAAATGTACGATTTTTTACTGTTGACATATGCTTTTGTTTTTATGTCTCCCATCTTAAATAATATGGCGACTTATATATTTTGGCAATAAATGGTAATTTTAAACTTTATAAATCAAAAATTGAACCATTAAAATCGTTAGGTTGGAAAGACCTTAACATGATTATCGAATATAAATCATTTTATAGAAATGACAAAATTTTCGAATAGGAATCACATATTTTCGAATAGAATAACAACTTAAAAGTGATGGATTCTCGAACAGAAATAACATTTTTTTCGCACAAGAATAACAACTAATCGAATAGGAATCATATTTTATCGAACAGGAATGACATGATTCAGAAAAACAAAAACAAAATTTTTGCATAATAATGAGAAAAAAGTATAATAATGCAACGTTTTATCCGCCATACCATGAACAGGTGATAAGGGGTAGGATCCAATTTCTTTTTTCAAGCCCTTCCACTTACTCTTCTCTCTTTGACTACACTATAACGTGCCTATTGAAGGGGGTGGGTTCACTTTGTTCAATGCCTATATTATGTCTATCTTTGCAAAAAGTGGGGGGGGGGGGGGTAAGCCTTTCCCGACGCCTATGGATTAAATCACAGTTGTGAAAACCAATGCGTAAATAAGTGGTTTTCGTGTTTTGTGCTGTTGAACTTAGAACCGGTTTCATGATCAAAATTCCACGACCCGGCTCAGTTTTCAACGGACTAGGGTCAAAATTCAACACATTTGGTCTCTGTATTCAACGTTGAAAAATAACCCTCGGGTCATTTTTCAACCCGGGTCAAAATTCAACGGTCCAACGGCCGTTGTAGAGTGTACCGTCGCAAAGCGGAGCGGTACCAGGACGCTTGTGTTGTGCAACGGCGACAATTCGGTGGAGAAAGCGTTATGGTGTGGAGTGGAATCATAGCACGTGGTAGGACCCCTCTACAAATTGTGAATGGAAATCTCACCGGCGTGCGCTGTCGAGACGAAATTATTTAGCGCCATGTGATACCCTTCATCCAGGGATAGCAAAATCACATCACTTTACAACAAGACAACGCAAGGTCACATGTTGCACGTGTAGTCAGGGACGTTTTAGTTCAACAGCATGTCGTTGTCTTGCCATGGCCAGCTGTTTCTCCCGATTTGTCGCCGATCGAGCACGATTAGGATGAAATGGAACGACGTCTACGTCGTTTGCCGAATCAGCCGGTGACGTTGGCTTATTTAGGCCAGGCCTTAACCAACATCTGGAACAACATCCCACAAGCATATCTGAACACTTTTGTGTCATCAATGAGGCGCCGTTGTCAAACATGCGTGAATGCAAATGGTGCTTACACACGTTATTAACTTTGTTAATTTAATTCTTAATACCAGTGTCTTTCGAGTGTTCTGAAATTCATGTTGTTTGACGTTAACGTTAATGCATTATGAAATGTTGTAATGAATACATTAGTTAATAATATTACAAGAATTAAAAAATTGTTCATTGTAAAAAAAAATTATTATCTTTTTATGTATTAAATAATGCCCATTTCCCTTTTTCGCTAGTATATTTAAAGATAATGCTTTAATACATTGCGATAATTGTATTCAATATTTTTTATCTTAAGAATTCCTCTATAAATAATATATTATGTAAAATGTATACTTGTTTACCTTCCTCGTATCCAGAGAGGATTGTGTATACTGAGTAATATCTTTCGACTTCTGTATCACAGACTCCATTAGACCAGTCTGTAGGGTGTATGTTTCTCCAGGTACAATAATTCTTCCAAAATTGGACAAATTTTTCAGAATCATTGTAGAATCGATTTGGAATCATTCTGTCAAATCTGTCTGTATGACACAGAAAAATGTTGGAGATCACGAACAGTATTCAATATCAAAGTCCATAAAACTACAAAATATGAGCAGACCAAATACGGACCTCCAAAACATCAGAGGTGAGATCAGGTGCCATTGAGGAGTGAGCATCCCCTGTCGACCGGTCACAACCGCCGTGTGCTCCATGTCATGATCGGTAAATAACGGAAAAATCCGTCTTCAATTCAGTGTATAAATAATGGACTAACAATTAGTATGAAAAACGTCAGTCAGCATTAGACTCAATGATAAACTGTTTTTGCTGACAAGGTCATTGTATCGACAATATAACGAAATAATGACTTTAAACGAGACTGCTGATACTTTTGTTTCATCAACTTGTTTGTCAATAATTTACCTCGTTTTAGATATTGTTCATACGTAGAGCATGCTCTTGCGTATCGAATCAGCTGAGATATATAAACTCCGTATGCAGGTGATGAATGTATATTGCTGCATGAGTAAGGGAAGTTGACGATAGAAAAGTTAAAGTAATCACGTTTATCATAGAGCTTAGTTGTTAGATTACCATTAACGTCTTTTTCAAGTAAAATATTGAAGTATAAAGCAGATTTGTCAGACTCTGTGGTATCTTTTATCTCAAAATCACCAGGATATATCGTATCGGCAAATGAATGGAAATTACCATTGTTAATTGACAATAGGTCGTCGATATATCTATATGTCGATTTGAAGGCAACAGCAAGTGTTTTCTTCTTTTCACACATAAGGTTTTGCACAAATTCTGCTTCATATGAATACAAGAATAGGTTTGCTAATACCGGAGCACAATTGGCACCCATTGGAATTACAATAGTTGGGTGGTGACGTGTGAAAACAAAACAAAATAAATTCTAATTATGAAACATGCTAGGGAAAACCATTTTACAAATTCATCATAGATTTTGTGTTTTCGATTCCGATAGAAAACTTATAAGTCTTTGTGCAATTTTCAAGGAGTTGTCTAGAATATTTATTAGGGCTTAATTGAATGAGAAAATCAGAACACCCACGTTTAAGATGTGATTTTCATATTTGCGTTATCCAACTGGTTGGTATGATGTTTCGATATATTAACGAGCTTTAGGCATTTATTTTTTCAAAAATAGAGTTTGATAAGAAAATATAAATATGATATACTCTTTAAAACATCTGCATAGGATTTAGGAACGGTGCTTCTTCTTCCAGCAGGATTTATGGAGTTTAATTATAATGTATTGTAGACATTAAAAAATGTGTCTAAAAGAATCAAATCATAAATGTGCTGCAGAATTACATATTCATGTAAATACTTTATTTTAATAGGCATTCTCTGTAACCACTTAAACTTCGTTGCCATGCACGCACGGTCACCGATTTATTTTGATGAAACTTCACCCATGCTTAGTACTTGACACCGGAAACAAATATCAAACAAAATTTCGTTGCTATGTGTCTCGGTTGCTATGGCAACAGCCGGAAAAGTTTGAAAAATCGAGATTTTCAGCCACTTTAAATCTTGACTGTGGCTTAATAAAAACTAGAAAAAGCAACCAAACCATTCTCACAAAATCATGACACCTTGATGTCACTTATACTGTAAAGAAACTGTTTAGAATATATCTCTAAGTAAGTGGTAACAAAGGGTACATTTGGAATACATTTAAAATGCTGAAATATGCTGAAAAACACTCCGTATTCACTAATGGTAGGTGTTACATGCTCAAACTCAATCAACGACTTAAGAAAAACAATGAAAATGTTTGACCTTAAGTATATAAGTATAAGCAATATTATTCTATAAATAACTTTTATGGTTGCCATGGTAACACAGTGTAACCATGCAAAACCAGTAACTAAGATTGGGTTAATGCTACTGTCTTGAGGAAAAACATGAAAATTCAAGACTGGCAAATATGCATCCGTAGGACCTTGCAACACCAAAACCATAAGAAAATTCGGTATAATTGCTACTTGATAGTGTTACCATGGAAACAAAGTACCAGTGCTTAAAAGTGAATTATTTTTCGCTGCATTAAGAATTAAATTGCCATTTAATCAAGAAACAAATAAAAGGACTAAGCTTAAATTGTACTTATCTGTTAGAACTGAAGTTGAATATCATATATTCATAAAATTTGATGAATAAAACAACACTATTGCTAGGGTTACCAAGAAGGGAAAATGTTTGATTTTGTCTACTTTATATCAATATTAAACCCTGTGTGCCAACTTCTTGCATCCACTTAGAGATTGGATGATAGTCAAAATTAAAAGTCAAGTTAGCTGTTAATAAATATCTATCATAAAAGTTTTGGGATTCTACATTTAAGGGTACGTATCCAAGGAAAGAAAATATTTTTCAGGTTTTTAAGCATATATTTTCTGCTTATTTCCATAGCAACGCTCTATTTAAGGAATCTTATCTGAATTTTTTCAAATGGGAAAACTTGGAGCACACCAACATCTTATAAATTTGATCATTAATTATGAGGAAATGTGCTTTTTTTAAAAGATAGGATCAGATTTAAACATACAGAGTGTTACTTTGAAGGCTCTCTGTGATATAAAAACCTTGGCAACCATTGGCAACCAAAATGAAATATCATATTTTGTTCTTGGTATAAGTTTCAAGGCTCTTTTTTCTATTATTTGGTCACATTTCATCCTATAATTGCCTTTTATTTTTACGTGTATGACTTTATAAAATTCAATGATTTTTTTTTTACTTTTGAATAATTTGTTACCATAGTAATGTATGTAATAGTTGATTTACCAAACATGTTTATCATACATTTGAGACATCTGACCTTCAACTTTTGGAAACAGTCATTGCCAATTGTTTGCTTTGCCGCAATTGTTAACTATGGGGCTCTAAACATTTTTAAAAATGCCATTTTTCGAACTTTAAGACATGTTGCCATGGTAACTATAAAACATAGCAACCAATTTTTGTCTGATTTCAGTTTAGGGTATCAATGACTTTTATCATAGAGAGTTTGGAGAAATTCTGAGACTATGCATGCCACAGCTCCTATATAAAATTTCAAATCATTACAGAGAATGGCCCTTAAATCTAGCTTCACTAAAATAAGTGAAGGATACATACATGTACCTCCGATAAGTTGTATTTCTCTGTCAATCTTCCCCTCCATTACCAATCTCATTAGCATTAGAGATCTCTTGTCTTGTGGACTTGACACATCAAGGTTTAAGATATTGGACTCTGTTTCAATATAATATAAAGGGATGTCTGAGACCACATCCACGAAAAACTCTTTGTCTATATCACTTAGCAAACAGTTCTCTCTATAAGATTCCATTATCTCCCATCGTGTGTAACTTGGGATAAAATACACAGATAGGAGTTCTTCTTTGTTTTCAACCAACAGTCCCACCAATTCCCTGTCCTCCAGCTCTTTTAGCGTCTTCCAGACATCAACGTCTCCCATAAAGATGTCATCATGCAAAACAACATTTTCTTCTCCATACAGAAACATGGTGTAGAGAACGACACGCTGATTGTCTGTTAAATCTGATAACGGATCTGTCAGAAATATAATCATCTCTGATATATCAGTAAATATGACAAAATTTCAAAGAAAACTTCAACATTATATCAACAAAAAAACCAAACCAATTGCATATCTGTCAACAAAATCTCAAAAAAGGGACATAGGTGATTTATTACACTAATGATCGGTAAACAAAGAAATAGTTTTATAGTTTTAATCAATACATTTCATTGCTGTAAAAATGTAAGAATAAGAAGTTAAATATTCCTAAACAATTATTTCTATACGGTGAAAGAAAACATATTTCATATAAAATTTAAAAATTCATCGAATATGTAAGGAAAGAATTTTAAAATTTCCAAGAAAAGTTTAAAAGAGGGCAAAGATTTTACTCACCAGAGGTCAAAGGTCGGTCTCTGTGTTGAGAGTGATGCTCACTTATGTCGGACTTAATACTTGCGTCATCAGAAATGTTGCTTTTAGCAGAAGAAATGTTTGTCTTCAATGGTTCTCTTTTAACATCCTATTGATGAAATACCAACTTTTATCATAAATTACAATTTGTATAATACAGATCCGTATCATACTGAGAAGTCTATTACTTATGATTAATAAAGAGTGTGTTTTGTACATCTACGCCAGAACTAGTATGCTGTTATCATCGGAACGTAGGGGCTGGTATAGACGTAAATTTGTAGCCCTAACCTTAATGTATCATTTCTTTTGTTACATGAAACTGATTTTAAATGTCTTCAGCATTTAAGTATATGTTTAAGATATTATCTTATCTTTAAAAAAAATTGTATGATTTCCCTGTGCTTTTTTGTCTTATCAAAATATATAAACTTACATTTTCCTCCTCGCCTGTCCTTTCTTCACTATTTATCGTCTCAGCCATCATTTACCTGCTTACTCAACAACATGAACACACCATTACCTTGTTCTTCAATCGTCGGTGGTTGTCTTCTTTTTTTTAGATTGTAAACACGTATATGAAATAAATATATTTTATTGTATATACATGTGTGTTATCATTCTTGGTGTTTTATTGTATTCTTTCCATCCATATGGTCAAATATAACCTCACAATGGTCATCTGAAAAGAAATACACGTATTTTATAGATAAAGATAGGACTGTAGAACATTCATCAAATCTATTTGAATCATATTATCAATGTTGTACAACCTCAATCTATTATATGATGGCATATCCCCCTACATGCAAGATAAATTTACTGTATGTCAACATGCAAAATCAATATGTCAACATGCAAGATAATTAGGTCTACATGCAAGAAAATTATGTTAACATGACAAATTAAACATAAAAAGAATATGATTATAAAATGGGAAAAATTACTTACTTATGCCGGTTTCTGAAATCATACATGTACATGCAAGATGAAACATACTTATGTTGACATGTGACTTATTTATTCTAACATGTAACATAATTATGTAGACATGCCACATATTTATGTCAACATGTAAGATAATTATGTTAGTTAACATGCAACTTATATATGTCAACATGCAAGATAATAAGGTGCATGTCAATTAACATACATATCTCGCATGTTGACATATTCAAGCTGCACGTCGACATTATCATAATTATCTTGCATGCAACATAAATAAGTTACATGTCAACATCATGTTGTATATTATTTGAAAAAGTAGGGGCTACTGTTGTTTCACTTTATGATCAAAATGTTCATTTAAACAAAGGGATACGAAACTATATTGTATATTATCTAAACGAGGAAGCATTTCCAAAGAAATCAGAATCAATTTCCAAACACACCAATCACACTCTCCGGATCTGCACGGGATGCTACTGATGATCAAAGGTGTTGTGCCACAAATTTCCTCTGAATTGAAAGGTTAAAGCCACTCTAAATAGATTCTTAAGAGAAAGGCATCAGATTAATTATAAGTTGTGAAGTGGTAAATTAAACGGAGATCATGCGCCGTCTAACACAGGATGAGAGGACACGTGCCCTCGGTATGCTACAGGTTGGCACAAGACAAGTCGCTGTGGCAAGGGTAATGATTATTTTTCAGTCTGTCATCAACAGATAATGATCCAGACATCGTGCTACAGGGTCTGTTCAGGATAGACCACGATCTGATCGACCAAGGGCAACAACTCAGACTCAGGACAAATTTCTCCACACTATTGCCTTGCGAAATTGACTGGTAAATAACAGCAAATCAGATAAGGTCTCAACTTCCAAGGAATATTGGCTTGGTAGCGACTATCAGGAACGTGTTGGTATCGACCCTTATTCTTAAGAATCTCTCATCGTCTTTTTATGACTGTACACAGGGTTTCGAATGAATTGACAAATATTTCCTTAAATGGACATAGACACAGTTTCAGCTAGAATATTTAAATTTCTTTTTCCCTTTTTACAATTAGTTAACTAAGGTCGTTTCTAATGATTATAAATAATTTGAACTTCAGTTTTCGAGATACAATACAGATTTAGAGCTCGATATCTTTGTTTAATAAACTAGGTCCGTGTCATGGTTTTGTTTACATATGTTAATATACCAATATATGTTCCTCCAAAACAGATAATTTCAATAAAAAGTTAATTGTAAATGCGAATAGACAGTTTCTAGTGATTTGCTGAATTTCGTTATATTGTAAATATGATATTTTCTATATGTAAACATAAATAAATAAGACTGGTGCCTTGTTTATGTTTACATAAACTTTAAGTTTTCTATCTCGTTTGTTAATAAACAAATGATGTTCAGAATTTTGCTGATCATTACATGATGCCATATAGCTAGGAATTGTAAACATTACAATTTGTTTTAAAAATTCAATTGAAACTGTCTCCATGTCTCTTTAATGTTTTTCTGTCATTTGTTTTCCTCCTAACCTTATGATCTGCAGTTCATTGTCCATGTAAATTAAGTATCCCTACTTTTTTTAAGAATAGTATATCTTGTATGTACATATGTATGATGTCAAATGCAGTTGTTTTTAGGTAGATTTACCAATATTCAAGTTATATTTTCTAATAAGGTTGGTAAATTGCATGTCAGCATAATTATTTGCATTATGTTAACATAAAATGTTGCATGTGTAGTAGACTTAATTATGTTGCCTATTAATATATACAGTTAACTCTTTAATCAAATAGTAATATCAGAAACAATACTACATGTTATGCGTGCATTTTCATGGATTAGACAGTTTGAATGTTTAAGGTTTCATTAAAGGTCAACATGTCAAAATTTTTTTTTTACAATAGCTCCAATACAATATGAGGTATAAAGTTGAAACTTAATAACAGTTTATCAATATATCATTGTTTAAGGTCATACGCAACGTAGTTTGACCTTTTTTGGATTCTTCCCTGGAGTTGAAGAGTTCCACTAAATGAAGGACCTGTGTGCAATATTTTTAATGTCTATATATGGATTTGTATACCTCTTCTAAAACAATTTTTGATGAAAAAAAATCTAGAATTTTTGTTTTATAATTTTTGTATATTTTCATTTGAATTATGCAAAAACTTTCAAAATTCCATATCTTTTCAAAGCCCCTGGTAATGCATGCTGATTTATTGTCTAAGAACATGTAATGATATTATAAGTTTAAATTTAGAATATCTTCAAAAATCATCAGTAGGTAAGGTATGTTGCGTATGTCCTTAACAGATTGAAAGTTTCACTTGAAAACAAACAGTTAAAAAAAATATTTATCGAGAAAAAATATGTCAAAAAATGTACATATTTTTTTAAATGCACCAGCTAACTTCTGTAATATTAGTGAAAACCATCATTGCAGAAATAATGATAATATATATGTTTATCATTGAAGAGTGTTGGACGTGAATGGTCTTTTAAAGGCTCTTATTGAAAACATAGCGTGTATAAAATACAAGACCCCTATAAAATCCGCCATTTGCAATGTACTTTCCATTTCAAATCTTCACATTAGGACAAAATAAACAGGGAAAACGACTTGCCATTGATAAACATATATTTTTTGCAATGATGCACTTCACTAACAGTATGGAATTAATTACGTGTATTTAAAAAAATATATATGCATCTTTTTTAAAAGAATTTTTCTCGACAAATATTTTATTAAGCATTTGTTATCAAGTGGTACTTTCTATCTGTTAATCAATGATATAATATTTATAAATGTAAAAGTTTCAACTTTATAAACCACATAGTTTTGGGGGTATATTGTAAAAATAAATTTTTCGAGATGGTGACCTTTGATGAAACCTTAATGTGATATTTAACCTCAATTTAAGCATTTTTTTTCATATCCCCAATAAACCATCTTATTCTTTTACAAAACATAGAAAACGATATATTATTGGAGCTCTGGTCTGTGAAAGGATCACATGAGTAAGATGATCTTCTAACCGGATAAGTATGATGTTGAGTGCACATCTTCCAAATTTGCAAATTTCATGACCCCGCGTTCTGGTATTAGGGAAGGGTTGTGTTTAATCGGCAGTAAAATGCATTATAATTACATTGTATTTTTTTTTTTAAATCTTTGCTCCTGTGCATATTGGAGGCATACAAAGTTTTAATAAGCAAGGGTATTTTTACCGGAATTCTGAATATCTGGACCATTAATTAAGTTAAGTGTCCTGGTCCTGGCCAGGGCTCTATTTAATTTGCATACTACTGAGCGAAGCAAAGTAGCGTTCTATTTTTGAAAAGTAGCATTCTTGCTTATCATAACCATGTACTTCCTTTTATTGAAAAATAACCTGGAGCATAGAATATTTTAAAATATTTGATGCATTTTTACTACCATATAAGTGGAAATTTTAACGGGACGCAAATTTAGCGATTTGTCCTTAAAAATTTGTATTTTATTTTTAGTGAGATGTAATTTTAGCGATTTTAAAAAGCTCAGTTAAGAACATATTATAAATAAAACCTAATTATTATAAATAAAACCTAATTAATTTTTATTGATATTCAATTATAGCGATCTCAGCACCCTCGCTATATAATACCTAAATTAAATCTTCGCTAAAAATTCTGCTCATATTCGGTATATCATCAATAGAACCCCATCCCAATACCAGACCTCCTGACCCAGGGGTCATAAAATTCACAATTTGGAAGAGGCAGTAATGCTCATCATAACTTTGAACTTAGATTTTTACAGTTGTGTAACCAGGATCAAATAAGATTTTCACTATTTTATCAATAGAGCCGTGCCAATACACCAGAACCCCAGAGTCTGGGGCATAAAAATCACAATTTTGGAAGAGGCATCCATGCTCATCATAGCTATAGGTACTTAGTTTATTTAATAACCAGGAGCAGAGAAGATTTTCAAAGATTTAATGCATTTTCACTATCAATAGAGCCCCATCCAGAACGTACCTTGATCCTGGGACCATGTAAATCACAGTTCTGGAAGAGACACTCATGTACTTATTTTGTTTAATACCCAGGATCAGTGAATATTTTCAAAGAATTTGTTCGTTTTCACTATACACTCAATAGAGCTCCGCCCTAGCACCACAGCCGCTGACCCAGGGGCCATGAATTCCACAATTTTGGAAGAGGCAGTCTTGTTCAACATAACTATGTACATGGTTAGTTTATTTAAAACCTAAGAGCAGAGATGAGGATTTTCAAAGAAATGATGAATTTTACTATATTATCTATATAGCCCTGTGCTAGCACTAGAACCCCTGACCCTGAGGCCTTGATTTTCATAATTTGGAAGACTCGATGCTTATAACGATCATACCAATAGTTTGACTGCTTGTGTCCACAAGAAAAGAAGATTTTTGAATATTAATTTTAGCGGTATTGGACCAACCCCTTCACTCATGGTTAAACGGTGGACCTTCAGATATCCGGTCGCCAGTTAACCGGATGCTTCATGATCCGGACTATTTTTCGTCGAAACCGAATTTTTTAGCATTATTTTGTCTTGTTTAACTGGTAATTCAGGTATCCGGACACTTCACATATCCGGACAAATTGACAAGGTACCAAAGAGTTAGCATAGTTGAGGCTCCACTGTACTTTATGCCAAAGTTGGTTGAAATTGCTGAGAAGAATGTTCAAATGCTAACACAGGTCGCAAGGCGCACGATGACAGACGAAAACAAATAGCAAT